TTCTTTCATCAACAAAGTAAAATAAAAAATGAAAAAGAAATGCATGTCAGCCTGGGTAAGATGGCAATACTCAATCTCTACTCAAAAAAAAAAAAAATCTTTTAAATTAGACAGATGTGATGGCACACCTGTGGTCCCAGCTAGTTGGGGGGCTGAGGTGAAAGGATCGCTTGAGCCCAGGAGGTTGAGTCTGCAGTGAACTATGATTGCATCACCGTACTCCAGCCTGGCTTACAGGGCAAGACACCTCTCAAAACAGTGAAGAGGAGGAAGAACTAGAAGAAGAAAAAGGAGGAGGAGGACAGGAGGAGGAGGAGAGGAGGAGGAGGAGGAGGAGGAAGAGGAGAGGAGGAGGAGAGGAAGAGAGGAGGAAGGGAGGAGGAAGGGAGGAGGAGAGGAGGAGGAAGAGAGGAGGAGAGGAGGAGGAGGGGAGGAGGAGGAGGACAGGAGGAGGAGGAGAGGAAGAAGAGAGAAAAAGAAAGGAGAGGAAAAATAAATGCATAAATAATATGCATTTTCATTGTAATATGAATTATCAGCAGTAAATAATTATGAAGATTTAAAATAACAAAATAGAAATCACTTCAAAAGAGAACAATTTATTTAATTTGGAATACTATAAATTAGTATCATTTGATCTATAAGTATGATTTCTTTTTTTGTTTATTTTTGTTTTGTTTTGTTTTGTTTTGTTTTGTTTTTTTTGAGACGGAGTCTCACTCTGTCGCCCAGGCTGGAGTGCAGTGGCCGGATCTCAGCTCACTGCAAGCTCCACCTCCCGGGGTCACACCATTCTCCTGCCTCAGCCTCCCTTGTAGCTGGGACTACAGGCGCCGGCCACGATGCCCAGCTAATTTTTTGTATTTTTAGTAGAGATGGGGTTTTGCTTTATTAGCCAGGATGGTCTCGATCTCCTGACCTCGTGGGTGATCCGCTTGCCTCGGCCTCCCAAAGTGCTGGGATTACAGGCGTGAGCCACCATGCCCTGCCTGCATAATAATTTTTAAAGCATGAAAATGCATATGGCGTTAATTTTATTAAGATAAAATTCACATAAAATCAAGTTCACCACTTTAAAGTGTCTGTTTCAGGCCGGGCGTGCCTATAATGCCAGGCACTCACGCCTGTAATCCTAGCACTTTGGGAGGCTGAAATTGGTGGATCACCTGAGGTCAGGAGTTCAAATCCAGCCTGGCCAACATAGTGAAACTCTGTCTCTACTGAAAATACAAAAATTAGCTGGGCATGGTGGCGCACACCTGTAATCCCAGCTACTCAAGAGGCTGAGGCAGGAGAATCGCTTGAGCCTAGGAGGCAGAGGTTGCAGTGAGTCAAGTTTGCACCACTGTACTCCAGCCTGCGTGAGACAGAGTGCCACTCCATCTCAAACAAAAAAATTAAAATGAAAAATGAAAATAAGAAAAAAATTTTTAAGTGTGTGTTTCAGTAGAATCTAGTATATTCACAAATTTATACAACCATCACCTCTATTTCTAAAATGCTTCCATCAGCCCAAAAGTGAATACTGCACATGGTAAGCAACCGCTCCTCATTCCTCCCTTCCTCCAACCCCTGGCAGCCACTAATCTGCCTTCTGTTTCCGCGGATTTTCCTAATCGGGATATCTCACATAAATGAAATCATACGATATGTGACCATCTAGTCTAGCTCCTTTCACCTAGCTTGATGGCTTTGTGGTTCATGCCTGCCGTAGCATTTATCGATATTCCATTCCTTTTCATGGCTGAATACTATTCTATTGTATGAATACCTCACTTTTTTTTAATCCATCCATTGATGGACATTTGGGTTGTTTCCAGCTTTTGGCTATTGACAAAAAGAGTCAAAACTCTGTAAAATATTTGAAGAGACTTATTGTGAGCTAAATATGAATGTATGAATGACCATGGCCCATGACAGAGCCCTCAGGAGCCCCTGAGAACGTGTGCCCAAGTGAAGTGTGTTGTTGTCCGGGGTAATACCCAAGGTTCATTGTCTCATGCCAAGAAAATTAAGGACATGGACACACACAAGGAGTAAGTTTATGAGTGGAGGCTTAATAGACAAAAGAAAGAAAAAGAGAACAATTCCCTCTCTTGTGAGAGAAAAGGATGCCCAAATGGGACTTCCCATCCATGGCGGAGCGCACCAGATTTTATAGACAGGCTTGAGGAGTTGGTGTCTGATTTACATAAGACCCAAAGATTGGCTGGACCAGGTGTGACGTTTACATAAGGTGCAGAGAAGCTGGCTGCCCCACGCTAATCTTATTATGCAAATGGAGTCTTTGCCTTCTCCTTACTGTACACGTGGTTGGCAAAGAGATGGGAAGATGGAGCTGCCACTTTCAACATGCCTAGTCCCAGGTGGCCTTTTCCTATTGGCACAGCTGCCGGCATTCACCTGTGCAAGCTTCCAGCTTGCTTGCTTATGTCTGCAGCTCGATTTTACAGGCTGCTCTTTGTTAGGAAAAAAAAAAAAAAAAGATACAGGGGCTGCTCTTCATTGAAAGGAAAGCCTTACTGAGGACTTCCTTACCCTCACTCTCTGCCTAAATAATTCCTTTTTAACTTCTATATCACGAGGTGGTCATGGCGCAGCTTGGTTTTTGTTGTTGTTGTTGTTGTTCTTCTTGTTGTTTTCTTTTGGAGACAGAGTCTCGCTGTGTCACCCAGGCTGGAGTGCAGTGGTGCAATCTTGGCTCACTGCAGCCTCCACCTCCCAGGTTTAAGTGATTCTCCTGCCTCAGCCTCCCAAGTAGTGGGACTACAGGTGCCCAACACCACGCCTGGCTAACTTTTTTGTGTGTTTTCAGTAGAGATGGGGTTTCACCGTGTTAACCAGGATTGTCTCGATCTCCTTTCCTCATGAGCCACCTGCCTCGGCCTCCCAAAGTGCTGGAATTTCAGGTGTGAGCCACAGTGCCTGGCTCCTGGCTTGGTTTTATATATTTTACGGGGACGTGAGACAACAATCAAATACGTTTAAGATACACATTGGTTCACTCCAGAAAGGCAGGACAATCTGAAGTGGAGATGTGGGGTGGGTGCTTCCAGATTATAGGTAGATTTAAGCTTTTCTGATTGGCAGTTGGTTGAAGGAGTTATTATCAATAGAAAAGAATGTCTGGATTACAATGAGGGGCTGTGAAGGCCGAAATTCTATCATCCAGACGAACCCTTCAGGTATCAGGCTTCAGAGAGAATAGACTATAAATGTTTCTTATTAGACTTAAGGTCTGTGTTGATGTTAAATGCTGGTCGGCTTTTCCTGAACTCCAAAAGGGAGGAGGGCATAAGGAGGCATGTCAGACCCCCTACTTCCCACCACAGCCTGAACTAGTCTTTCTGGTTAAATTGAGAGTGCCCTGGCCAAAAGGGAAGCCCATTCAGATGGTTTTTGGGGGCCGGTTCTTTTTTTTTTTTTTGAGACAGAGTCTCGTTCTGTTGCCCAGGCTGGAGTGCAGTGGCACAATCTCAGCTCACTGCAAGCTCCATCTCCCGGGTTCACGCCATTCTCCTGCCTCAGCCTCCAGAGTAGCTGAGACTACAGGCGCCCGCCACCTCGCCCGGCTAGTTTTTTGTATTTTTAGTAGAGACGGGGTTTCACTGGGTTAGCCAGGATGGTCTCGATCTCCTGACCTCGTGATCCGCCCGTCTCGGCCTCCCAAAGTGCTGGGATTACAGGCTTGAGCCACTGCGCCCAGCCAGGACTTCTAATTTAATTTTTGGTTTAGGTGGCTGGTGTGAATAGTACTCTTATGAATATTGGTGGACACATTTTGGGTTGAATAACTGTTTTCGGTTATCTGGGGTATATACTAAGGAGTGGAACTGCTGGGTGATATGGTAATTCTATGTTCAACTTTTGGAGGAACCACCAAACTGTTTTTCCAAAGCAGCTGCACCATCCTAAATCCCCACCGGAAACATACATGGGTTATCATCTCCACACCTTCAGCAAAACTTGTTACTTCCGTTTTATTTTCTTTGGTTCTGTTTTTTAATTGCTTTTATTGATACATAATATCTTACATATTTATGAGTACATGTGACACTTTGTTGCTTGGCTAGAATGTGTAACGATCAAGCTAGGGCATCTGAGGTATCCACCACTTTGAGTACTTACCATTTTTATGTGTTGGGAACAATTTAAGTCCCCTTTTCTAGCTACTTTGAAATATATCATATCTTCTTGTTAATTATAGTCACTCTGTTCTGCTGTCAAACACTTGGGTGGGGCATGGTGGCTCACACCTGTAATCCCAGCACTTTGGGAGGCCGAGATGGGTGGATCACGAGGTCAGGAGGTCAAGACCATGCTGGCTAACACGGTGAAACCCCGTCTCTACTAAAAATACAAAAAATTAGCCAAGCGTGGTGGCGGGCACCTGTAGTCCCAGCTACTCGGGAGGCTGAGGCAGGAGAATGGCGTGAACCTGGGAGGCGGAGGTTGCAATGAGCAGAGATCGCGCCACTGCACTCCAGCCTGGGCGACAGAGCGAGACTCTGTCTCAAAAAAAATAGAACTTACACTTTTTATCTAACTGTATGTCTGTACATGTTAACCTACCTCTCTTCATCCCAGTGATACAGGAGTGAAAAAGAAATTATTTAGGCAGTTAGCAAAGGTAAGAGAGTCCTCAGTAAGGTTTCCCTTTTAATAAAAAACAGCCCCCAAATCATTTCTTTTCTAACAACGAGCAGCCTGAAAAATCAAGCTGCAGACATAGAGAAGCAAGCTGGAAGCAGGCACAGGTGAATGCCAGCAGCTGTGCTAATAGGAAAAGGCTACCTGGGGGCCAGGCATGTTCAACACGGAAGCTCCCTCTTCTCTTACCTTCGTCAACCACGTGTACAGTACAGAAGCAGGCAACATGGAACCAGCCAGGTAAAGAATTCATTTGCATAATAAAAGATTAGGCTGGGGCAGCCAGCTTCTTCATGCTCCATGTAAATGACTCACCTGTTCCGATCAATCTTTGAGCCTTATGTAAATCAGACACCACCTACCCAAGCTCATCTATAACACTTCGTGCATTTCACCACGCAACCAGAAGCCACACTTGGGAGCCCCTGTCTCCACTCTTTTTTTTTTTTTTTTTTGAGACGGAGTCTCGCTCTGTCACCCAGGCTGGAGTGCTGTGGCCGGATATTATCTCCCCAGGAAAGTCAGTCCTTCCTAAGCCGGCTTTGGGTAAGCATCTCTGAGCATCAGACCCACCCACCAGCTCACACATGGGTTCTTTCTTGCATTTTTAGTAGAGACGGGGTTTCACCGTGTTAGCCAGGATGGTCTCGATCTCCTGACCTCGTGATCCACCCGGCTCAGCCTCCCAAAGTGCTGGGATTACAGGCTTGAGCCACCGCGCCCGGCCCCCCTGTCTCCACTCTTAAACTCACTTCTTATGTGTGCACGTCCTCAGTTTCCCTGGTGTAAGACAATGAACCTTGGGTATTTACGCTTGGGTATTTTCGCTGCTTTACTGGTGAGGTGATATCTCATTGAGGTTTGGATTTGCCCTTCCCTAATAACTAACAATGTTTAACATCTTTTTACGTGTTTGCCCACCATTTGCATGTCATTTTTGGAGAAATGTCTATTCAAATCCTTTGCCTGTTTTGAATTGTGCTGTTTGCCTTTTGGTTGTCCAGTTGTAAGCATTCATTATACATTCTGAGAGTAGACCATGTGAGATAAATGATTTGCAAAATATTTTCTCCCATTCTGTAGACTGTCTTTCATTTTCTTCATTGTCTTTTCATTTTAATGAATAGATGTTTTAAATTTTGAAGACATTTATTTTATCTATTTTTTCTTTTGTTGCATGTGCAATTGGTGTCATATTTAAGAATTCGTTGACTGGGGGTGGTGGCTTACGCCTGTAATCACAACACTTTGGGAGGCTGAGGCGGGCAGATCACCTGAGGTCAGGAGTTCGAGACCAGCCTGGCCAACATGGCGAAACCTTGTCTTTACCAAAAATACAAAAAAAATTAACCAAGTGTGTTGGCACATGCCTGTAATCCCAGCTACTCGGGAGGCTGAGGCAGGAGAATTGCTTGAACCTGGGATGCAGAGGTTGCAGTGAGCCAAGATTGTGCCACTGCACATCCAGCCTGGATGAGAGAGCAAGACTCCATCTCAAAAATAAAAATAAAAAAAGAATTTATTACCAAATCCAAGACCAGGAAGATTTACCCCTGTTTCCTCCTAAGCGTTCTAGTTTTAGCTTCTAAACTTAGGTCACTGGCTTATTTTGAGTTAATTTTTGTTTGTTCTGTGAGGTAGGGTCACAACTTCCTTATTTTGCATGTTACTATCCAGTCATCCCAGCACCATTTGTTGAAGAGATTATTCTTTCCCCCATTGAATAGTCTTGGCATCCCTTGCTGAGAATCAACTGACCATAAGATGGATGGGTTCATTCCTGGACTCTCAATTCTAGTCTGTTATATCCTTATGCCAGTATTACTGTCAGTTTGTAGTAAGTTTTGAAATTTGGAAGTGTGAATCCTCCAACCTTCTTGTTCTTCTTCAAGATTGTTTTGGGGTATTTGGATTCCTTACAACACCATATGAATTTTAAGATGAACTTTTCTTATTCTGCAAAATAATAATAGGTTAAAATATTGATAGGGATTGCATTGAATCTCTAGACCACTTTGGGGGAGTATTGCTGTCTTGACAATAGAAAGTCTTCCAATCCATGAACATAGGATGTCTTTCCATTTAGAGAGGGCCTTTTATTTCTTTCAAACACTTTTGTAGGCCAGAAGCAGTGGCTCACGCACAACATTGTCAGAGGCCACCAAGGTGGGAGAATTGCTTGAGCCCGGGAGCTCAAGCCCAGCCTTGGAAACATACTGAAACACCATCTCCACAAAAAATTTAAAAATTAGCTGGGTGTGGTAGTGAGCAACTGTAATGCCAGCTACTTGGGAGGCTGAGTTGGAAGGATTGCTTGAGCCCAGGAAACTGCAGTGAGCTATGATCGTGCCACTGCACTCTAGCCTGACCAGCAGAGTAAGACTTTGTCTCAAAAAAAAAAAAAAAAAAAAAAATAACTCAAAAAACGTTTCCTGACTAAGTCTGAGTGTCCTGGTAAAATGTATTGCCTAATAGTTTGCTGGAAAATTTTTGACATCTATGTCCATAAGAAATATTAGTCTATAATTTATTTTCTTGTTAATTGTCTTCATCATGCTGTCTCCTAAGTACTGGAGGCAGTGCACGCAACTGGTCGGTCATGCAACCTCCGCATCCTAGTGCAAGCAGTTCTCCTGCCTCAGCCTCCCAAGTAGCTGGGATTACAGGCATGTGCCTACACACCTGGTTAATTTTTTTGTATTTTTAGTAGAGACAGGGTTTCGCCATGTTGGCCAGGCTGGTCTCGAACTCCTGACCTCAGAGCAACATTGGCCTCATAAAATTATTTAAATAGTGTTTCCTCCCCTTCCATATTTTTGAACAGGTAAAAGATTCATGTTCATTCTTTTTTAAGCTATTGGTAGATTTCACCAGTGAAGTCATCTGGTCTGGGTTGTTCGTTTTGAGAGGTTTTGATTACTGATGTAATCTGTGTAATCTGTTATAGGTCTGTAGGTCTGTTTAGATCTTCTATTTCTTCTTCTTCTTCTTCTTCTTTTTTATTTTTTTTGAGACGGAGTCTCGCTCTGTCACCCAGGCTGGAGTGCAGTGGCACGATCTCAGCTCACTGCAAGCTCTGCCTCCCAGGTTCACAGCATTCTCCTGCCTCAGTCTCCTGAGTAGCTGGGACTACAGGCACCCACCACCACGCCCGGCTAATTTTTTGCATTTTTTTTAAGTAGAGACGGTTTTTTTTTTGTTTTGGTTTGGTTTTTTCTTGCATTTTTAGTAGAAATGGAGTTTCATCTTGTTAGCCAGGATGCTCTCGATCTCCTGACCTCGTGATCCACCCGCCTTGGCCTCCCAAAGTGCTGGGATTACAGGCATGAGCCACCACGCCCTGCCAATCTTCTATTTCTTCTTGAGTTGGTTTCAGTGGTTTGCGTGTCACTAGGAATGTGTCCATTTCATCTAGGTTATCTACTTTGTGGATATACAGTTGCTCATACTCTTCTCTTCTGATATTTTGTAACTTCAGCTTATATGTGTATATAGTATATAAATTAAGTCATAGTATATCAACCACTGTAGGCACGATTCCTAACCTAATTCCCCTTATATAATTCCCACAACTCATAGAATTTTCCCTGGAGGTGCTGAAGCAAGTAGACAGGAATGTCACGTTGAGACAGAATCAGGCAACGATGCAGCTGGACTGGAATCTGGCACAGAAATCTGGTGACCCAGGTAATGGTTGAGATGGGGAGGTGGTCAGTGAAGCTTCGTAGTGGGACAAGATGCCCAAGAATGTGAAAAATAAGAGATTTAAAGATTAAAGGGAAGTGTGGGGCGGGTGGGGTGGGGCTGTAAGAGGAGAGCCCATCTGAAGAGGAAGGGACCTTGTTGGGGACCCCGAGATATTAACCGCGGCCTTGTCCTACAGGATGTGATACATATAGAACTAAAGATTGAAGGAAAGTGTGGGACGGGTGAAGCCAAAGGAAGGTAGCCCATCTCCATGAGTAGAAAGTTCTGTGCGGGGCGGAGGAACTCCAAGATTCAATCTTGGCCCTGTCCCGCAGGCCCTTCTGTGGTGGGCCTTGTCTCCATTCCAGGGATGGGCAAGTTGCTGGCTGAGGCCCCCCTGGTCTCGGAGCCTGAGAATCAGGTGGTTCGGAATGAGACACACCAGGGCTTGCTCCCCATCCTGCTCTCAGATGTCATCTCTGCCTTTCTGAGCAACAACGACACCCAAAACCTCAGCTCCCCAGTTACCTTCACTTTCTCCCACCGTGTGAGTGCTGGTGGGGTGGTGGGGGGTGGTGGGGAGTCTGAGTCCAGGCATAGCCTTGCTGCCCAGCTCAGCCCTGGGGCTCACGGGTCTCTGTTACGGGTACATTATCTCCCCAGGAAAGTCAGTCCTTCCTAAGCCGGCTTTGGGTAAGCATCTCTGAGCATCAGACCCACCCACCAGCTCACACATGGGTTCTTTTTCTTTAGTGGCACAATCTCAGCTCACTGCAACCTCCGCCTCCCAGGTTCGGGTGATTCTCCTGCTTCAGCCTCCCTCGTAGCTGGGATTACAGGTGTGTGCTACCACGCCTGGCTAATTTTCGTACTTTTTTTTTTTTTTTTTTTTTTAGTAGAAATGGGGTTTCATCATGTTGGCCAGGCTGGTCTCAAACTCCTGATCTCAAGTGATCCACCCGCTTTAGCCTCCCAAAGTGCTGGGATTACAGGCGTGAGCCGCCATGCCCGGCCCACACCTGTGTTCTGTTCCTGCAGTCGGTCATACCAAGACGGAAGGTGCTCTGTGTCTTCTGGGAGCATGGCCAGAATGGATGTGGTCATTGGGCCACCACAGGCTGCAGCACGATGGGCACCAGAGATACCAGCACCATCTGCCGTTGCACCCACCTGAGCAGCTTTGCCGTCCTCATGTGCCCCTACGATGTACAGGTGAGACCCTTAGGAGAGGCTGCACTCTGCATTTATTGCTGTGTAACAAATCCCCACAGACATAGCAGCCTTTAAAAAAAGTGCATTTTCTCACAGCTATGGGTCAGCAAGCTGGCATAGCAAGATGGCTTTTCTGCTCAGGGTCTTACAAGACTGAAATCATTGTGTCGCCCCACCCCCAGGGCTGCCGTTTCATCGGAGACTTGAGGTCCTTCTCCAGGCTCCCTGGTTGCTGGCAGAATTCAGTTTCTCGTGATTGTAGGACTGAGATCTCACTCTCTTAGCTGTCAGGAAGGCATGGCATTCAGTTCCTAGAGGCCACTCACATCCTTTCTCACATGACCCTCTGGCAACCTTTCAGCATTCCTATCTGGAGGTCAAGGAAAACATATTCCTTGATGCGGAATCCTTCTTAAGGTTTGTATCAGTCGGGGTTCTCTAGAGGGACAGAACTAATAGGATAGATCTATATATAAAGGGGAACTTATTAAGTATTAACTCACAAGATCACGAGGTCCCACGATAGGACATCTGCCGGCTGAGGAGCAAGGAGAGCCCATCCGAGTCCCAAAACTGAAGAACTTGGAGTCCGATGTTCGAGGGCAGGAAGCATCCAGCACAGGAGGAAGATGTAGGCTGGGAGGCTAGGCCAGTCTCTCTTTTCACATTTTTCTGCCTGCTTATATTCTAGCCACGCTGGCAGCTGATTAGATGGTGCCCACCCAGATTAAGAGAGGATCTGCCTTCCCCAGCCCAGTGACTCAAATGTTAATCTCCTTTGGCAACACCCTCGCAGACACACCCAGGATCAATACTTTGTATCCTTCAATCCAATCAAGTTGACATCCATATTAACCATCACAAGTTTTGAATCTGATTCTCCAGGAAGAGTCCAGATCTTGTAAAGGCTCATCTGATTAGGTTGGGCCCACCCAGGGTAAACTCTGCTTTTTTTTTTTTTTAGACGGGGTCTCTGTCACCCAGGCTGGAGTACATTGGCACAGTCATAGCTCACTGCAGCCTTGACCTCCTGGGCTCAAGAGATCCTCTTTCCTTAGCCTCCTGAGTAGCTGGGACTACAGGCATGCACCACCATGCCTGGCTAATTTTTGTGTTTTTACTAGAGACAAGGTTTCACCAAGTTGGCCAGGCTGGTCTCGAACTCCTTACCTCAAGTTCCACCCGCCTCGGCCTCCCAAAGTGCTGGGATTACAGGTGCGAGCCACCACGTCTGGCCCACCTGACTTTCTTATCTCATCACTTGGAGTAGATCCAAGGGACATCACTATCAGATCCTGCGGGAAAAAGGGCCAAACCACCCTTTTGTTTTCCATCGCAGGAACATCTTATCAATATCCTCCCAGACAGCAAGCCATACCACCCAGCCCCTCTTGCCCAGACCTGTAACTACCCCAGCCTGTAAGCGGCAGCGGATTCTGGCATGCAGCTAGCTCCCCGCTCCACAGGTCTCATGCTGGACATAAACTTGCATTGCTGTAGAGCTACCAACTCTCTCTCTCTCTCTCTCTCTCTCTCTCTCTCTCTCTGTCTTTCTTTAACCCTTACCTTCCCTTCGAAACCTAACGGGCTCACACCTGGAATCCCTGTGCTTTGGGAGGCTGAAGCGGGAGGATCACTTGAGCCCAGAAATCCGAGACCAGACTGGGCAACACAGAAAGATCCTGTCTCTATAAAAATTTTTAAAAAGTTAGGCCGGGCGTGGTGGCCCACGCCTGTGATCCCAGCACTTTGGGAGGCCGAGGCAGGTGGATCACAAGGTCAGGAGTTCAAGACTAGCCTGGCCAAGATGGTGAAAGCCCGTCTCTATTAAAAATACAAAAATTATCTGGGCGTGGTGGTGGGCGCCTGTAATCCCAGCTACTCGGGAGGCTGAGGCAGAGAATTGCCTGAACCAGGGAGGCAGAGGTTGTAGTGAGCCGAGATCGTACCACTGCACTCCAGCCTGGGCGACAGAGCAAGACTCTGTCAAAAAAAAAAAAAAAAAAATTAGCAGGGCATGGTGCCATATATGACTATAATGCACACCTGTTGTCACCTGCATGACTACCCTTGTATTCCCAGACACCCAAGAGGCTCAGGTGACAACTTCACAAATTAAATTAAATTGATGACACCTTCACAAATTTACCTGGCTGCCTCATTCTTGAATGTGCTATGCCAAAATAAAAATTAAAAATGGTGGTGGGGTCATTACCCCAGAGCAAGAAAGCATAACTGTGAACTCTTCTTTTTGGGGTCTCAGGAGGAGGATCCTGTGCTGACTGTCATCACCTACATGGGGCTGAGCCTGTCTCTGCTGTGCCTCCTCCTGGCAGCCCTCACCTTCCTCCTGTGTAAAGCCATCCAGAACACCAGCACCTCGCTGCATCTGCAGCTCTCGCTCTGCCTCCTCCTGGCCCACCTCCTCTTCCTCGTGGCAATTGATCGAACCGAACATGAGGTATTGACAGCGGTGTTCCAGGGGGCTCCCTTCCTTGACGCAGAGGATGCTGGCTCATGGAATGATGTGGCATTGGATTCCTTAATATAATGGCCCAGCGGAGCGCGGTGGTTCACGCCTGTAATCCCAACACTTTGGGAGACCGAGGGGGGTGGATCACCTGAGGTCGGGAGTTCTAGACCAGCCTGACCAGCATGGAGAAAACCCATCTCTACTAAAAATACAAAATTAGCCAGGCGTGGTGGCACATGCCTGTAATCCCAGCTACTCAGGAGGCTGAGGCAAGAGAACCGCTTGAACCCAGGAGGTGGAGGTTGTGGTGAGCCGAGATCGCACCATTGCACGCCAGCCTGGGCAGCAAAAGTGAAATTCCGTCTCAAAAAAAAAACCATATATATATATATGTGTATGTGTGTATACACATATATGTGCATGTGTGTATACACATATGTGTGCATGTGTGTATACACATATGTGTATGTGTGTATACACATATGTGTGTATGTGTGTATACACATATATGTGTGTGTATATATACGTGTATCTATGTGTGTGTGTGTGTGTGTATATAGGCCCTTGAGTCCTGGGGAATATTAGAAGAGAACACTACCAATTTCCCATTGCCTGACTCAACTACAAAGCAAATATTCTCTACAATGCCATCAAATATCTCAGAATTCTCCCCAACGGCATGGTACAGGAGAAGCCATGGGTCACACTCAAATCTGACCGCCGCTCTGGATGTCTCTTTTTTTTTTTTTTTTTTTTTTTGAGACGGAGTCTCGCTCTGTCGCCCAGGCTGGAGTGCAGTGGCTGGATCTCAGCTCACTGCAAGCTCCACCTCCCGGGTTTACGCCATTCTCCTGCCTCAGCCTCCCGAGTAGCTGGGACTACAGGCGCCCGCCACCTCGCCCGGCTAGTTTTTTTGTATTTTTTAGTAGAGACGGGGTTTCACCGTGTCAGCCAGGATGGTCTCGATCTCCTGACCTCGTGATCCGCCCGTCTCGGCCTCCCAAAGTGCTAGGATTACAAGCTTGAGCCACCGCGCCCGGCCGCTCTGGACCTCTCTTACTTCTCCCCCAGGTGCTGTGCGCCATCATCGCCGGTGCCTTGCATTATCTCTACCTGGCCGCCTTCACCTGGATGCTGCTGGAGGCCCTGTACCTCTTCCTCACTGCACGGAACCTGATGGTGGTCAACTACTCAAGCATCAACAGATTCACGAAGAAGCTCATGTTCCCTGTGGGCTATGGAGTCCCAGCTGTGATAGTGGCCATTTCTGCAGCCTCCAGGCCTCACCTTTATGGAACACCTTCCCGGTTAATGCAAATTCCCACAGTCCTTATCTTCTCCGGCATAACCGTGGCCATTGCTAGAACCTAGATAGCATTTTTATGATACTTGCTTTTAATTAGATCAGTAGGGATTTTAGGCTCTGTTGGTTGGATTACACTGCAGCTCCTCGTTCTTAGCTATTGAGTTTATTTCAATTACATTTCAAACTAGGCATTGTTGAAGAGGGTTTTCGGAAATTTTCTGAATGAAATAAAGGGCAAGTCTTTGGAAAGCATAAAGAGGACAAAGACACTGTGTCATAATCCCCAGGGCATCTTTCTGCTAGAAGATTATAATAATTAAGGAGGGTCAGGCTCAGTGGCTCACGCCTGGAATCCCTGTGCTTTGGGAGGCTGACACAGGAGGATCACTTGAGCCCAGGATCTTGAGACCAGCCTGGGCAACACAGCAAGACCCCTTCTTTACAAAATTTTAAAAATTAGCATTTTTTAATGCTAAAAATTAAAAATGAGTATTTTGTAGTCCCAGCTACTCAGGAGGCTGAGATGGGAGGGTCGCTTGAGCCCAGGAGTTCGAGGTTGCAGCGAGCTATGATTACACTACTGCACTCCAGCCTGAGCAAGAGAGAGAGACCATGTCTCTAAAAGATACTAATAATAGTTAGGGATAATGTATTTAAATCTCTCTCATTGAAATAGCAAGAATGAAATCAAAGTGCTCATGATAGCATTTGTTTAATATCTAACCTACTTTATCCAGATCTTTTAGGATGCTTCAATTTTTCATTTGAAAAAGTAGACCTGATTTGAATAACCCAAATAATTGATATTGTCATAGTTAAGATTTACGAGATGCTTACTTTGTGCCAGGTACTTTTCTAGCCTGTTTGTTTGTTTGTTTGTTTGTTTGCCAGTTGCACTGGTTGAACCCTCCAGGACACTGTTGACTAGAACAGCAGACAGTGTTGTCTTGCTCCTGAACTTAGGGAGAAAGCACTGAGTCTATCCTCATTAATGTATGTTAGCTGAGGATTTTTCATAGATACCCATTTTCAGGTTAAAGAAATTCTTTTCTATTCCTAGTGTGTTTGGTATTTTGGTGATGAAACTGTGTTTGATTTTGTCAAATGCATTTCTGAAGCATATAATTTTTAATTATATGGGATAAAAATTATATGATCACATTATAATTATATACTTATATTAGATTATTTTATATGTAATTTATATATAAATATGTATCTATATAATTTATATATTATATAAGTATATAATATAATTAAATATGATAATTATATTATATAATTATAAATTATATTATCATATTAAATTATATAATCGAATATTATATCATTATAATTATATAATCATATATAACTATATGATTACTTAATTACTTAATCTTTTGTTCTATTAATACACATAATAGAATAAAGGATTAAAATTATACAATCACGGCCAGGCGCGGTGGCTCACGCCTGTAATCCCAGCACTTTGGGAAGCCGAGGCGGGCAGATCACAAGGTCAGGAGATCGAGACCACGGTGAAACCCCGTCTCCACTAAAAATACAAAAAATAGCCGGGCGCGGTGGCGGGCTCCTGTAGTCCCAGCTACTCAGGAGGCTGAGGCAGGAGAATGGCATGAACCCGGGAGGCGGAGCTTGCAGTGAGCCCACTCACTCAGCCTCACCAGGATAGCCTGGGAACTACAGGGCAACGCCACCCACCGCCCCGGCCTAGTTTTTTGTATTTTTTTTTTTTTAGTAGAGACGCCGGGGTTTCACGGGTGT